CTGCTAACCACAAGATGGCTGCTGTGCCGCATCAACTGATGGTCAACTCTGCTTGCCAGAATCGCCTTCCTGAAACTGTATTCCATGGAGACTCACCTACAGTTGCGGAACTGCACGAGACCCACACTTGATCCAACCTTGAATGGAATCTATTTTCCCTATTGTTAAAAACTTTGGACTCGTGACCCCTCTCCCTCTACTCGCAGGTATCGCATTTTCAATGACCCCTCTGGAGGATAGCTGTCTATAGCAGAGATAGAGTAATTGGGAGAGGGGGAAAGGGCTGAGGGTCAAACATAGGATAAAAAACATATTTATATGTATGAAAGTAGAAATGGAACAGTATTGGTGACGACATGCTTGATTAAGACACTATGTAGTTTATCCTAGATGGGAAACTACACTTGGTGTGTTGTGATGATACTCAGGGAATGAGTGTTAGGCAATATAATTTAATATAAAAAAAGTAATAAGCAGGAGGAAAAAAAAATGCACATTTGATGACTGAAGAGAGTTGTATGGACACAACTGGGGTCTACTTTATAATATGTTCATTCTACTCCCTGGGGTTTATGCCTAGGATCAGATTTGGATACATGTGTAAGGATATGTCAGCTGTGCTAGCTAGTGGATATACTTAGACTAATTGAGTTCATTGGTAGAACAATTGAATGGGGGGGGGCGGAAGCCATTGAGGGCAATCATGAATGTCAGGGACAATGGAGGAGGAAGATGGGACATGGCAGAGGGTGGGGATGGGGAACCTAGGATGGCAAAACAAAAGGCAAGGTATGCAGGACACAAAAATTGGGAAATCATTTGCTGAGAACATATATGTTGATGTGCTTGATTGAGCCAATGCACAGTGTATTTTGGATGGAAAATTCATATGTGTGTTGTGATGAGAAAAAAAAATTTATAATAAAGAATTATTTTATTCAAAAAAAAAATAAATAATGACAGTATTAGATTGTCACTGACTGATTGAAATAGGAAACTATAAGTCCATGAAAATATAATAATAAGTATATGAGAAGTTTTACAAAGAATAGGATATTTCCATTGTCTAAAAATATCTTTTTTCTTTTTTTTTTTGGAGAGGTTTTTGCTATAGGGCACGTGCGCTCGCCAGACAGACAGAGAGAGACATAGAGACAGAAAGCGAGAAATCACCCTCCCAGGGGGGGTGGTCACACCGCAATCCCTTCTCCTCCATTCTCCTCTTGGGATCTTGGGCACGCATGCACACGTGCCTGGCGTGAGTTTTAAGCCACCAGGTCCAGGACACGAACTGCGGTCGACTATGTGGGAGTTCAGTGACATAGCCATTACGCTAACTGTTGGTTCCCTAGAAATATCTTCCTTTAAAAAAAAAAATACTCATTTAATGACAAGGGGAAAGGATGAAAGGAGTAACTTCAGGTGGAGAAGGATGACAGCAACAACTTCAGTAACCAAAGTGAACATAAGGGCCCGTCACAGTGGCACAGCGGTAACACATCATTCCACGATGCGGAGGCCACGTGGGGGGGTCCCAGGGCCATGTCCCAAGGTCTCCCTGTGCACACACATGCCCATGACCCTGACTGGCTCAGGCTGGTGGTGGATCGTGGCGTGAAGAACCCACTGGATGTACCTGTGTCTCTTTCTGTCTCCTTTTCTCATGGAAGAGATAAATACACTCAAAAATAAAATGAACATCATTATGAGTGACAAACTGAAATCTAGGGTCACCTGCTAGAATGCCAGGAGAACAGACCAGCCTATCTGTGACACCCCTGCTGAAGACCCTTAACCTGAATGTAATACAAGCAACATCAAACAAACCTAAATTTTATAAAACAATTGGCCTATAATCATCAGAACTGCCAAGGTCATGAGAGACCAGGAAAAATTAAGGAACTGATCCAGTTTAAAGAGGACAAAAAAGGACAACTAAATGCCATGTGTGAGCTGAACTGACTCCTTTTATTCTAAAAGATATTATTAGGACAGTTTAGTGAAACTTGAGCTAGGCCTGAGGATGGCAATAGTGTATCACTGATAATTTCCTAGTTTTGATGGTTCAAGGAAGAAAGTCCTTATTGTAGAAAATACCCACTTAAATATTCGGAAGTAACCGGGCATCAGGATGGCAACTTATTTTCAAATGGTTCAGGAAAAGAGTTGAATTACTATGTAACAGTTCATTGCACATGGTCGACTTGGCTAGGCCACAGCACCCAATGATTCGAACACTAATCTAGGCTCAGCGGTGGTGCAAGCACTGCTAAAATGCTTTGCTCTGCACACCTGAACCATGTGGGAGGCCTAGGTGTGATTCCCAGTACAACCTAGAAGCTGGGTGCAATGGCTCATCCCTCTAATCTCTAGCAACTTGGGGAGGCAAAGGCAGGAGGATAGTGAGCTCGGGGCTGGCCTTGGCAACACAGCAAGACCCCGTCTAAAAAGATTGGGGGCCAGCAAATGGTGTAGCCATTACATTGCTTGACTCCCCCATGGCGGACTGCTGTTTGAGTCCTGAGCCCAGTGGCCTGAAAAATCATACGCCGGGTGTATGTGTATGTGTGTCCAAGATCCCAAGAAGAGAATGGAGGAGAAGGAATTGTGGCATGGCCATCTCCTGGGAGGTGATTTCTCACTTTCCCTCTCACTGTCTCTGCTTCTCTCTCTCTTCTGCAAGCATACCCTAAGGCAAAAACCTCAAAAAAAAAGAGTTGGTCATGGTGGCATGACCCTGTAGTCCCAGCTTCCAGGGAGGTTGAGAACAAGATGACAGCATCAGTGACAACCTGTCAAAAAAAAAACAACACTAATCTAGGTGTTGCTGTGACAGTGTTTTATAGATGCAGTAAACACTTTAACCAGCTGATTTTAAGGAAATTATCCTTTATAATCTGGGTGGACCTCATCTGGTCAGCAGAAGAGCCATAAGAGCAAAACTGAAGTTTCCCCAACAAAAATTCTGTCTCAATACTGCATCGTCAGCTCCTGCCCAAGAATTTCCAGCCTACTGGCCTGCCTTGCAGACTTCAGATTTTCTATCCTCCACAATTGTGTAAATCAACTGCTTAAAGTTACGTGTGTGTGTGTGTGTGTATGTGTATTCGTCTGCATGCATATATATGTGTATATATATGTATATATATGCTATGTATATACATATATTCTGTGTATATATCTTATATGTATATTCTATACATATTCAGTGTGTGTGTGTATAAATATATATATCAAATAGTTCATGAAAAAAATTGCTTATATGTGACAGTTTTATGTGTCAACCTATATATATATATAGAATTTAAATACCCTGCTGGTTCTGTTTCTCTTAAGAATCCTGAGTGATAAACTGTACTTGCAACTTTTCTATACATTTGCGATCATGTCCAAATTTTTAAAATTTCATTTCAAGTATATCTTCTTCCACTGGTTCTAACAATAACATCAGTGAATGTCACAGGTTTTGATAAGCTAGGTAATATTACACTCGAATAGTAAATGTGTCTAAATAGTCTGCCATGTACTACCTAAAAACATCTTATATACCCCCCACCCCATTATAAATGTAACACACTTGGGAAACGTCGGCCCACCCCCAGTAGCCGGCCACACCTGATGTGCTGATCCCCCCTTTTAAAGGTGGTGGTAGGGAAGGCTGGGGGAGCTGAAGAGGCTACACCTTTATTTCCTCGCCACTCACTGGCTGACCCCTGAAGCTTTCACTGCGGTCGACGGCCTCTGAGGCGTTCTGGCTGTCAGGGAACCCAGGGCGGGTGTGCTGGCTCTCCTGGGCATCAGGTCTTGGAGCAGGACGCCGTCTCCTCTCTGGCACTCCCTTTCATCACTCCCTGTGCCAGTTCCTCTCTTCTGCCCTTAAGTTCCAAATCCTTGCCATGGCTCAGCTGAGGACCCTACTCTTCCGTTATGCCACCCTCCTAGGGGATAGATGATGGCATTCATTTGCTCCTGGATGTGTCTGATTTAGAACCGCCAGCCCACACCTCACACGGGTCATTTCAAGCTATTCGCCAGCAGGAAGGCACACCTGCCTGAGTATCTCTATCGTGTGCCTGCCGTGCGGATAATGGTGGGTTATTTCCCTTTTACATGCACTATTTCCCATCTGAAAACAGAAGCGTCACAAGGTCAGGGCTACATCTATGCTTCTTCCCAAGGGTCTAGAGACACAACAGATGCTCGGGTGTGTGTGCTGATGATGGATAGTTCTTCCGAAGGCACCGGAAGGCTGAGTGAGCCTTATCTACTCCTCTCTTCCAGGTTATTTGCAACGTCCTGTCATTTCTCTTCTATGATGTCGCTCACAGGTCATCCCTACACACAGGCCCCATCACTCTCGGACTCCGACACACCACTTCGGGCCCTTGGCTGCTTCTCTGATCGGAGGCCCCAAAGTCACTGAAGTCCTTGGGGACCAACTCATCCCAACCTCCTCCTTCCAGAACCCTAAATGATCCCAGCTGCCCCTCAAATTAAACTGTATCTCAAAAACACAGTTCTTGGGAAAGGAGTTATTGTATAATCTATACAGCGTTTCTGTTTGGAAAAATGAGAAAGTTCTAGAAATGGTCAGTGGTCACGGTTGCACAGCATTGTGAATGTACTTAATACCACTAAATGGTGCCCTTAGAAATGGATAAAGTGGTGGGACCAGGGACCACCAGATGGCATAACGGTTACATCACTGGACTCCCACATAGTAGACTGCAGTTTGAGTCCCAGACCCAGCAGCTTAAAACTCATGCCGGTGCATGTGCATGCAGGCCTAAAATCCCGAGAGAAGAACAGAGGAGAAGGGATTGTAGTGTGGCCATCCCTCCTAGGGGGTGATTTCTCACTATTGTCTCTCTGTCTCTCTCTCTCTCCAGAAAGAACACATGCCCTATAGCAAAAATCTCTCAATAAATAAATAAATAAATAAATAAATAAAAACAAAAAAAGGTGAAACTAGTAGATGGTGTAATGGTTACATCACTGGACTCCCACATAGTCAACCGTTGTTCAAGTCCTGGACCCAGCGGCTTAAAACTCACCCCAGGCACATGTACATGCATGACTAAGATCCTGGGAGGAAAATGGAGACGGGATTGTGGCATGGCCATCCCCCCCATGGGTTGATTTCTTGCTTTCTGTCTCTCTGCTTCTCTCTGTCTCTTTAGAGACAGAGAAAAGAAAGAAGAAAGAAATGGTTAGAATGATAAATGTTACATTTATTTTACAACAATAAAAATGGTTCTTGAGATTTTCTACAAAATACCCCACTCCACTCAAATGTCCTCGTTTTGCCCCGTTTTCCAGTCTTATTCTAAACCACTAAACACACACACACGCACGCGCACACACACACACACCCCTACACAGCATTTCAGTAGTCAAACCTCCAGAATGTCACACGTCGCCACGCTTCTACCCGGCATGTTCTCATCGCTTTTCTCTGCCCAGAACCTATACTCGCTCTCATCAGTGGAACTTTCCTGATTGTCCCTGGCTTACCTGTGACATCTCCCCTCACATCGTCACTAATGAATTTGCTAATTGCTCTCCCCCTCTGTGAGGCGTTACCTGGGAAGCAGCCCGCTTTATATATTTATATTTCTTTCCTCCACTTTCCAAGGTTGTTTCAAAACCCTGAAAGTGACAGCCATAGAACTTCAATTCCTTCTGCAGGCTTCCCACGGAGCTGGGTATTTTATCGGACACACAATGTGCACTAGAATGTCTGTAAGTAATAAATTACTCCCTGAACTCCAAGGTTGATGGCCGCCTCTTTGAAGCACAGCAAATGAATCGATATGTCTAGAGACAGCAACCTTGTTAAAAAAAAAGAAAAACCCTAGGACGAGCAGTTAGCGTAATGGCCATGTCGCTGAACTCTCATGTAGCTGACCACGGTTCAAGTCCTGGACCCAGTGGCTTAAACTCACGTCGGGCACATGTGCATGCATGTGTGTGTGCATGCCCAAGATCCCAAGAGGAGAATGGAGGAGAAAGGATTGCGGCGTGGCCATCCCCCTGGGGGGTGATTTCTTGCTTTCTGTCTCTCTCTGTCTTTCTGGCGAGCGCACACACCCTATAGCAAAAACCTCTCCAAAAAAAAAAAACCCACAACCCATAAAATAACTTCTCTCTTGTTCTTGAACAAGCAACTCCCTAGTCACATAACAATTTTATTTAACTTCTTCAAAGCAAAGGCCTGTTTAAATCAAATATACATGCCCATAACACAAAATTCTAAAGCATGTACAAAGGCAAATGCTATCTGATTCACCCAACAACATACATATCCCTGAATCTCCACCTGACAGTCATGAAACATCATCTTCAAACTCATTGGTTAAAAGGCCAACGTGGAGGACTAGCAGTTGGCGTAATGGCTATGTTGCTCCCATGTAGTCAACCACAGTTCGAGTCCTGGACCCAGTGGCTTAAACTCATGCTGGACATGTGTGAGTGTGTGCCCAGGATCCCGAGAGAATGGAGGAGAAGGGATTGTGGCGTGGACATCCCCCCTGGCGGGGGATTTCTCTCCTTCTATCTCTCTGTCTCTCTCTGTCTTTATGGTGAGTACACATGCCCTATAGCAAAAACCTCTCCCCCCACCAAAAAAAAAAAAAAAGCCAATTTGGTTCTGAAATAAAATTCAACTATAGAAACATGATAAAGGAATCAAGGGAAATTGATGAGCCTTCAAAATTAGCCAATATCAGTTCAAAGAGAAGAGCTAAAAACACGAGGGACCTTTTTGTCCGCACAACTGTAATTAGCGGTAGTCACAGAGGAAAACTTGCTCGATCCTACATGCCAATTCGGCAAATTACTCTCTCTGCCATGAACATTCTGGTACCGAAAGGTGAAGGCATGATGTTAAAATGCTCCTACCTGCTCCTGGGCCAGCAAGGCCTTTTTCTTCATGACTTTCATGGCATAGATGTCCCCGGTGGCTCTCTCTCTCACCACCTGCACTTCTGCAAAGTGACCACAACCTACAAGGCTTCTCACTTCGAAGTCCTTTGCCGAAGGCTGCAGCTCCTGTAACTCAGCGATGGTGTCGGAATCTGCAAGATGGAAGAGTTATCCCCAGTAAATAAAGCACTTCAAATATATGCATCTTTGTGAAAGAAAAAAAAAAAATGTGTTCTTATGTCTTCCCTCACTGTCAAAAGACATTTAGTCACTTTCTCATCCATCATGAATAATTATAAAATCAGCACAAAAGTGTTTTTATGTTAAAATTAAGGGCTCCAGAAATTCCAAAGTACAGTTTCCATGGTAGCTACAATTTGAATCTCGTAGACCTAGAAAATAGGGAGAGAGGACACAAATCATGCCTTTTTCTTCCTCTCTGAAGGCTGCAGGGCAGTGTTCTGGTGTAGAATGTGACATAAACAACATGATTCTTCATTTCAATCCACTTCGGAGCTGGCATCCAGAGCACTCCATTCTAACTACGTGGGCTCAGCTCAGTTTTATCCCATGAGCCCAAGTTTTGGCTCCCTTGGAAGGTGTCAATAATAGTAATGCCTTCCTTGCCTTAATACGTGGCACTGCTTGGGCCAGCCCCATGGCCTGGTAGTTAAGGGAGCCAGCTCTCACATGACCAACCACAGTTCAAATCCCAACCCTGGAGGCTTGGGAAGCATACTGTGTACGTGTGCATGTGCTCAAACTCCACACAGCATGGGGAGATGAAGAAGGGACTGCAGTGTGACAACGCCATTAGAGGGTGATTTCTGCCTCTCTCTCTCTCTCTCTCTCTCTCTCTCTCTCTCTCTGTTTCTTCAGGTGAGCGCACATACCCTCTGACAGATTGGAGAAAATAAAAAAGAACTCTGTCTGGGTTATTTACATTCACACCTTTAAGGCTCTTGATTTTAATGGGATATCTCATTGTTAGACTAGGCCTCCTGTGGGGCTCCAGTATCACATTCGTGGCACCCCACTGCCTGAACGACCATGGCTGGGCCGAGTCAATTCTATATTTTAATTGTTTTTTGGTGTTTTTTTTTTTAAGAATTATTTTTATATTTATGTATTATTTATTTATTTGCTTGCTTGCTAGCTAGCTAGCTATAGTGCACATGCATTCAAGAGAGAGAGAAAGTGAAGAAGTAAGCTTCCAGGTCCAGGATTCGATCCATGGTCAATACGTGGGAGTCCAGCGCCTTAAACACCACGCCACCTGCCGGCCACTCTATTTTAGTTGTTATTACCCACCCCCTTTCAGTCGGTGGTATGGGTGGAGTTGAATTCTCTTGGATCAAAGGCATTACAATGAACTCCACAGTACAGAGAGTCTTCCCACCCCACAGACCACTCCAATTGCTTCAGCCAATCATGGGAAGACACCGTCCATTGGTCCTCCAGGGAACCAAGCAAGATTGGAGGGTGGAGCCACATGACTTCATCATGCCCACCGTAAAAAAATTAAGCTAGAGTGTCTACTTGCCGAATACCACTCAGAAACAACAGCTAAAGCTACATGGTTTTTGGTTTTTTGGTTTTTTGGTTTTTTTGCCCTGATCACACTGTGCCAAGCCCTGTCTTGCCCGCCTGCCCCTTTCCAAGTTTCTTTCACATCAAGTATTTGGGTTTTGAATAGTGATTCCCCCAAACGCGCTGGCTTGCAACTTTTTGGTTTTTCTTACTGCTCAGACACAAGGCCAATGTCTCTTAATTCTCTACTAAGCCTTGAGCCCCAAAGTTCCTACAGTGTCATCCAACCTAATAACTCTCGGTCTGTCACTGAGGACTACCAGGCGTCTCTGTCACACAAGATGAAATGCTTTGCAAGCAAAACCACCGTGATATTTCCTCAGAATTCTGAGAAACCATTTCAAATCTCCACTTCTTTATCCAAAGGCTTTTGGATTACGAAAATGAGCAGGTGAGATATTAAACTCAAGCCTATGACTATAAAAAAATTTTTTTTTTTAAATCTTCGCAACTCCTCTCCATACCAGCCGCTTCTGGAACCCTAAAACCGCATTACCTTTCAATCCCCACATACTTTTAGTTATGTATTTCAGAGCCCAGTCGGTACTGAAAATTAATGCACCAAACTGATGACAGTGGTTATCTCAGACAGGTAAGATTCTTGAGGGATTTTTCTCTCACTATTATTATGTGATATGTTATGGTCTAAATGTTTGTGTGCCCCCAAAATTCATATGCTGAAACTTAATCCCCAATGTGATAGTATTAAGAGGTAGAGCCTTCGAGGAAATGATTAAATCCACCTTCATGACTAGGATTAATGCTGTTATGAAAAGAGGCTGAAGGGAGTGAGTTTAACCCCTTCTACCATGTAAGGACACAGCAAAAACGTGTCACCTTTGGGGACTAGCAGACAGCGTAATAGTTATGTCACTGGACTCCCATTAGTCAACAGTAGTTAAAGTCCAGGACCAGGCAGCTTAAAACTCACACTGGGCACATGTGTATGCATGTCCAAAATTCTGAGAAGAGAATGGAAGGGAAGGAATTGAAGTGTGGCCATCCCCCGGGGAGTAATTCCTTATGTTCTCTCTCTGTTTCTCCAGTGAGCACATGTGCCCTATAGCAAAAAATCTCTTTAAAAAAAAAAAAAAAAAAGACAAGAAGAAAAGAATATGAGACCTCTGAACCAGGGGGTGAGCCCTCACTGGAAACTGAGTCTGTTGGTACCCTAATCTTGACCTTCCCAGCCTCCAAAAATGTAAGCAATAACTTTCTCTTGTTTATAAATTACCCAGTCTAAAATATTTGTTATAGTAGTTCAAACAGATTAAGAAACTATTTTTTTTTAATTTACTTCTTCCGTGAGTTAGAGAGACAGGAAAAAAAAGAGAGAGATCGCACACCCAATAGTCTTAACACCGCAATCCACCCTCAATCTCAGCTGGCCTGGATACATGAGTATGAGCATGCCTGGCATATTTTGCAAAGTCTCCAGACATAAACCCAGAACCTTCCCACATGGGTGAGCCGTACAGAGCACTGCATTTTACCACTGCGCCATTATCCTGCCCCAAGACGTGATGTTTAACCTTATATATTTAACTTTGTTTGTAATTAAGAAAGGAAAAGGAAAAAAAAAAACTTCTCAAAAGTTATCATTTGCCCATGAGCACTAATATGAAATATAGGTTTTGCCTACAATGGATGTAGTTGAAAGAGGGTAAAATTTCAGATACTGTCAAATTGTCAAGAACAGCCCAACCTCAATAATTTTCAATACTTTTCCACAAATGTTTTAATATCACACATGTTATTGTGATTTTATTAATAAAATTATTTATCATTGATTTATAAATGTATAATTATTTTATTTTATTAAAATATTGCTTAGAATATAATTATTATTTATAATAATGTATTAGTAAAATAATAATTGGCTTTAATAAAATAAAATAATAACTGACTTTAATAACATAAAATCAATGTTTTATGTATTTCAAAAGAAAGAAAAAAAGACATCTTTGACAGAGTCTTGCCATGCCACAATCCTTCCCCGAGCCTCTCAGACAAGATCATGGGCGGGCAGGGGCAGGCCCACCATATCCAGGTCAATGTTGGCCTCCCGTCTCCAATATCATTCAGTGATGCCTGTGCCACTGTGGCCTGACACTATATATTTTTACACAAGCACCTAATATATGTGAGACACTGTTCTAGGCACTGAAAATACAAGAGTGACTAGAAAGGACAACACTCCCATCCCTGATTCCCAAATGCTCATTCCCTCCCGTCCCTTGGGCCAAGTTAGGGGCATTTCAACTACAGTTACAGCTTCAGAGCTCTACATACTCTCTGTTCCATTTCCTCTGACAGTCCCCAAAGAACACTCTCCCCTATGGGAACTCAAGAAATCTGGACTATAGGGACCAGCAGTTGGCGTAATGGCTATGTCACTGGACTTCCATGTAGTCGACCACGGTTCAAGTCCCAGATCCAGCGGCTTAAACTCACGCCAGGTGCATGTGAGTGCATGCCCAAGATCCCGAGAGGAGAATGGAGAAGAAGGGATTGCAGCGTGGCCATCCCCCCGGGAGGTGATTTCTTGCTTTCTGTCTCCCTGTCTCTCTCTGTCTTTCTGGCGAGCGCATGCACCCTATAGTAAAAACCTCTCCAAAAAAAAGAAATCTGGACTATAGCAGCTAATGAACCATTCTTCTCATGGGAAAATAAAACTTTTATTCTAAAACAGAAACTCAAAGGGGGGGGGGGAAAGGCCCCACCAGGTGATGCACTGCATACCGCAGTGCTGGAAGCCACATGGCCAACCACAGTTCCCATCCTCAAGTCAGCCTGGAAACACAACCAGGTATATGCATGCAGATACCCAAGATCCTGAGAAGCTAGAAGGGGTGGGGAAAAGGGACTGCAGCATGACAGGACCCCGATGAAGGTGCGACTTTCTCTGTCTCTCTCTCCCCTCTTCTCTCTCACACACACACGCAAACACACACACTCATACACTGTCATAAAAAAAATAAATAAATAAAATTAATGTAATCACCAATTTTCAATCACAGCCTCTTAATAGTACTCCCCAGGAAGCCTCTTCAAAAACATGAAATGGTTTTCTGGAAGAGAGCTCTATTAGAAAAAAAAAAAAATCTTTATTCCACAAAACTTAACCCCTGATTACTGAATGATTCTAAATGATTCACGTCTTCTAAGTAACCAGAGAATAGCCTCAATACTAATGAAGGTGCCCAGAGATGGTTCAGTAAACTAGTCTCGTAATCTCCTTCCCCTCCTACTCCCTACTTGAAGATTTAAATATTCAAGAAAAGAAGCTTATGCAAACAAATACAAAATGCTGAACAAATATCTTAAGTACATTTTAAAGATACATAATATATTAAACATGGTTGAGGTTCATGGTCATCATCATTGGGTAACATCCACTAAGAATATACAGAGAGTGCTCTCCAGAGAGAAAGCGAGCAAGAAAGAGCACCTTCCAATGGGGTAGAGTCACCCCATAATCCTTTTCCCTCCATCCCCTCTTCCTATCGGGATTTTAGGCACATACATATGCAGATCCAGCATGTTTTTCAAGTCGCCAGGACCAGGATTCAAATCACGGTCATCTATGAGGGACCCAGTTCCCTTAACCACTGTGCTACAAGGCCAATTCTTTCTTATGATTTTAAAATAAAATTAAATGAAAGCTAATTAAAGCAAATTAAATGTATTGTCAAACTGAATTTATCATGGATCCTAAGCACTGTGCCTACCATGCCTAAGGGATAAGTCAGCCCTGAGTAAGTGTAACATGGGGCCAGAAGACATCGTTAAAGTTCCTAGAACCAGGTATGCCTAACTTGACTTATCCTCAGATTCTTCAGGTTCATAAAAGCCAATAAATCAGTCTTGGAATTGAGTTTCTGTCACTTGCAACTAAGCAGTCTGACTTCCCCTGGTCTCCCAGCGACAACAAGCATCATCTGAACTTAAACCTGTGTCTGTCTCATTCAGACTGGTTCTGACCCACGACCAGCAGCCACCAACTCAATCTACCTTTGGCATCCTTCTAGTTGTCTCTATCAAGACAGCTTTCAAGAACAAGTTCCCCAGACTTACATTTCCGGACAAAGTTGCTCACATGCTTAATCTTCATCAGGGCAGGCTGACTGCATTCTTCAAAGAGAACAAAGAGGGCGTCTAATACCCCTTCCCGGGAAAGAGGAGCCATCTGCTGTTGAGTCATAAAGGGTGGTTTCCCCTAAAAACGGCAAACAGCAGATGGAGACACTGTCAATAATGAAAAGCTTTGATCAATAACATCCACACAGAGTAAATTACAAGCCACCAACTCAACTAACTGCTCATGACGTTAGCAGCACAATCCACTTGGCTTCCTTCTTTAAAGCCGCATCAATTAACAGCCATTAAGTTATCTCTGGTACAATTCCATTTCTATCACCTGAAAAGAAAAAAAAAAAATCTCCCAAGAATGATACAATACGAGAAGATCCTTCATTTGTTACAGTCTGCGGCTAGTGGGAACATTTATTCTTGATTCGGCTGGTTCCGACACGTGCCTACAAGAGGAAACAATTATTGCCACTTCGCTCACGGATGACCAGAGGTTTGTTAATAGAACTCAGTTGCTGGAATTCATTCGAACAATCAAGAGTAGGATGAATGGAGTGACTATCACGAAGCCGAATTTATTCATGATCTGGAACGACACTTACAAACTGGCAGAATGTATCTAGCCCACAGACGTGTTTTGTTTGGCCGGTGGTGTTTAAAATAATTTGAACTATCTGCCAATATTTTAAAAATCAGATTTTGCAAAAAAAATAAAAATAAAAATGGAACGTCTGGCTTCTCCTGAAACACCAGCGGATATAGCCACGCTGCCCACACGCCTGCCTGGTGACGCTGAGCTGGAGCTGAGTAATACGGCCCCTCTTGGTAGCAAATGTTTTCGGGAGTTGGTTGCAGACCTCACTCCCGGTCTTCCACCTGGTTCATTTGACTCACTCATACTCACTGCCTGGCCCCCAAAAACATGAGGTTGCAACCCCTCATCAAGAGCAATGATTCTCATATGCCAGGCCATGGATCATGTGGCAGTCTATCCACAGGGGGCCACCAACAGGTCCTCCAACTCTGTAGGAATATGCCACTTCTCCTTTCAAGACCTACGGTCTACTCCTCCTCCCAGAGAGACTCTGTGCTCTCTCTGAGGCTCCCTTCAACCAACAGAATGTGACACGAGTGACGCTAAGCCAGTTCACAGTGGACCATTTAAAAAGCCTGGCAGCTGGGACCAGCAGATGGCATAATGGTTACGTCACTGGACTCCCATATCATTGACAGCAGTTCAAGTTCTGGACCAGCAGCTTAAAACTCATGCCGGGCACGTGTGCATGTGTGCCCCAGATCCTGAGAGGAAAATGAAGGAGAAGGGAGAGCTGCGTGGCCATCACTTTGGGGGTGATTTCTCGCGTTCTGTCTCTCTCTGTTTCTGCAGCAAGCACACATGCCCCATAGCAAAAATCTCTAAATAAATAAAGAAAGAAAGAAAGAAAAACTCTGGCAACAGTGGAACCAGCAGATGGTGTAATGATTACATCACTGGACTCCCACATTGTGGACCACGGTTCAAGCCTGGGACCTGGTGGCTTAAACCTCACACCAGGTACATGTGTGTATGTGTCTAAGATCCTGAGAGGAAAATGGAAAAGGGGTTGTGGCATGGCCATCCTCCCTGGAGAATGATTTCTCCCTTTCTGTCTCTTTGTTTCTCTCTGTCTCTCTGGCAAGCACATGCACCCTATAGCAAAAATCTCTCTCTAAAGATAAAAGAAAGAGGAAAGACAGAAATACGTATTTTCAACAGGGTTTTGCCATGCCTCAATCCCCCAGCCAGGCCCCCTGGTTAGCTAGGATTACAGCACACGCCACCACTCCTGGCATGTTTAGGTGGATCCAGGATCTGAACCTGGGCCTCCCAAATGGCTCCAGCATCATGCAGTGGCACCTTCCCACCTATGCCACGCCACTGCAGCTGGACCAGGACTGATTCTTAACAAAGTTTTCAATAGTCTGCAATGCAATGAGTAAAGAAAAAAAAAAAAAAAAAGAATACCATATGATGTCTCTTTTATACAGCCAAATGTATTCCAATTTTAAAATGGTCCTTTATTCTGAGATGATGTTCTTCTTCTCTTGGTATTTCTTAAAAATGTCCTTTCTTTTGAAATAAAAGGGCCAAAAGATAATGCAATTTTCTTTCTGGTTTTTTTTTTTTTTTTCCTCACACATCCTTACTTGGCCAAATAAAAAGCTGGCAAACCTGTGTATGTACCCAGTGATTTATGAAATCTTGCATGCTCTCAAAGTCTGCCAACTACTGACCTAGAACATAATGAGAAGTTCCACTGAGCAGAAAGAAAAAAGAGGAACTGAGACCCAATCTGAAGTACTTACCTGAAGGGAAAACAACATTGCTACTGTATCGCTACCTTACTGAACAGTACTGTGAGGGGGGGAGAAACAGTATGCGCTTTCCAGGGGCTAGAGGGGACTCATCACTAAAAGGAAATGAACTAGATGTTTAATTATAATCCTTCCTGCTATAATGACACTCGAATATCAGATAGGCCCAGCCAAGGTGGCACAGTCTATGGAGTACTGGACTGCAGTGCTGGAAGCCACACGGCCGACCACAAGAGCAGGTCCCCAGGTCAACCTGGAGACACGCTGAGTGCACACACGGGTGACCAAGATCCTGAGAATCTGGAGGGCTGGGGAAATGGGATCACCATGTGACAACATCCTATTGAGGGTACTTCTCTCTCATGCACATGCTATCATAATTAAAGCGTTTTATCATACAAAGCACTTAACACTTACCCAGCTCTTGGTAAACCTTTATAAATGGTAACTATTTTAGGGGTCAGCAGGTGGCATGGTGGTTAAGGTGCTGGACTCCCACATGGCCAATCATAGTTTGAGTTCAAGTACAAAAATCACACCAAGTACATGTACATTTGTGCCCCAAATCCCAGGAGAATGAAGAAAGGACTGCAACACAGCCACCACCCCTGGGAGGTGATTTCCCACTTTCCCTCTTTCTCCGTCTCTCTTCAGCAAGCACATGTATCTTTGTGGCAAAAACCTTAAAAAAAAAAAAAAAAGTTAACTATTTTAATACTAAGTGTAGAATAGTGTTAGCTATATTAATAACTAATTTCTACTTAACAGTAATTATATTTGGGAAGGATTGATGTAGATATTGAGACATATCTGAACAGACCAGAGTAGAAACAAATCAAAAGTTAAGGTTGTTCTGGCGTCACCATTTAAAGCATGAGAGTTTTTTGTTTTTTTGGGTTTGTTTTTTGGTTTTTGGTTTTGTTTTGTTTTGTTTTGTTTTCCACAAATGAATAGTCTATCTCAGGACCAGCAGAAGGTTATGTCGCTAGACTCCCACATGGCCAACCACAGTTTGAGTACTAGACCCAGTGGCTTGAAACTCACACAGGGCATGTGTGCATGTATGCCCAAAATCCCAAGAGAAGAATGGAGAAGGGATTGTGGCATGGCCATCCCCCATGGGGGCTGATTTCTTGCTATCTATCTCTCTGGAGAGCACAAACGCCCTATAGCAAAAATCTCTCTCTAAAAAAAAAAAAGAATAATTCACCTCTAACTGTAGCTTTCTGGAGTACTTCACATATAGCCCCTTCATCATTTCACTTCAAAATGTTTCCAACTTATGACAAAACATCCATTTATTAAAGGCTATGATATGCTCATTACATACTAGCTATGGCTTCCAATGTGCCAGGGACAGAACCAGCATGTTCCCAAGTGTCTTACTCCAGCCTCATAACAGAGGTAAAGGCTCTTATTTACACTCTACATCGGAGACAAGACATAAAGGCAGGCAAGGACTGACCCGAGGTCATGCAGCTTGATAGTGCCAGAGCCAGGCTTCATTTTGTCTGTCTGACTCCAAAGGCTGCCCACATAACTTCTAAGCCACACTGATCGCAGGTCAGAGTTTATTATGTGTCTCTTTAATTAGCTTATTTATTATGACAGCAAGCAGACAAGAGAGAGGAGCACGCTCCACAGGAGCTTGTCATGCTACGACCATGTATTTATTTGGAATGTGCTATAATATCCATACGCTAGGTAACCAAGCATAGAGACAGATGGTGGCTGGCCACCTGTGTGGTGTGACAAGACCTTCTCTATGGTGCTTCTCTTTCTCACGTGTGTGCACAAACCATCATGAATAAAAATTGCTAAATAGGCTTTCTCCTAGAATATTAGCCTCCATGAGGGACAAGGATGTCCCAAGAAAACAAAGGCAGTTGTGTAGAGTTGAGGAGGCAGCCAGTTACCTGGAAGAAGAGATTCAGCCTGGAGGTCCGGCTGGCAATGGGCTCGGCGGCACCAGCGTCCACTGGATTCCGTGCTCCATACTTGAACTTCAGCATCTCCCCACTGGTGCTGAAGGGACACAGGAAAAGATCAAATGTTTCTGCTTACTTCCTTTTGAGCAGGAAGGGCTTGGGAGACTGGGAACTTCCTCAAGGTATCAAGGATCAGGAGGTGAAAATCAGGCACCACCTCAGTCTCAGGAAGTTCAGTCTAGCCACTGTATTAAATATCTGTTTTTGGATCCAGCCTATGGCCTAGTGGTTAAGGGAGCCAGATCTCCCTCGGCCAGGAATTCAGATACCTGCCTGAACAACTTGAAAAACACACAGGGCATGTGTATATACATGCATGCCCAAAATCTTGACAGGAGGGGAAAATGGAGACAGGACTGCGGTGTGACCATGTCCCACGCACGGGGCAATTCTTTTTCCCTCTCTCTTTTGAGCGAGCATGCACCCTTGGACAATTTTTTTAAAAAATCTTATTTGAACTCGGTGTTACTGAAGATGATACACTTCTCTGGCATACTCTCTTACTATACATCTATTTATCATCTAGCCGCCTTAGAATATATGCTCCACAGGGGTAGGGATTTTTTTTTTTTTTTGAGAGGTTTTCGCTACAGGGCGCATGCGCTCAGGAGACAGAGAGAGAGACAGGGAGACAGAAAGCGAGAAATCACCCCCCGGGGGGATGGCCACCCCACAATCCCTTCTCCTCCATTCTCCTCTGGGGATCTTGGGCACGCACGCACACGCACCCGGCGTGAGTTTTAAGCCACCGGGTCCAGGACGCGAACCGTGGTCAACTACGTGGGAGTCCAGCGACATAGCCATTACCCTAACTGCTGGTCCCAGCAGGGGTAGGGATTTTTGTCCCCACACAGTGGAGACACACCATCTGGCACACACTAGGTGCAATTAGATAAGTTATTGAATGAATGACTGAAATAAGCAAACTACAGTGTCAGTAGGCAGGAAGTCCTACGGGGATAAAAAAAAAAACAATAAGGCAAGTGCCTTTGAGGTGGGGCGGAGGAAGCAGTACCATTTTTGACAGTGTGGTCAGATCACTGAGAAGGTCACGTGTGAAGCAAGCCCTCATAGGTGGTGACCCACAAGCCTTGCTGATATCTGATCAAAGCCTAGTAGCCTTGGCAGAGGGGACACATAAGTCATTGAACCTGCGGAAAGATCTGGCCTCTCCAACGGTATGGCAGGAAGGCCAGAATGCTGGAGCTGAGTGGAAGAAGGGGAAAGCAGAGGGTGAGCGAGAGGGCTCCGAGAGAATGAAGACCCTGAAACAGAGGTCAGGTACGTTGTTAAGGTTACGCGGACTCCACTCGACAGAATAACGCAGTGGACGCTGACCGGAACAGACCCTAACGCACACAGGACTCTGCGGGGTGGACAGAGGCAGGCCCTTCCGCCCGGGACACCATCCCGCAGACCCTCTGGTTCTGACTGGGCGCCGGCCCCAGCACCGCCAGCCCGCGAAGACCCCCCCGCCCCGGCCTCCGCAGCCCTGCCCTCCCTCTGTGGAAGTGAAAACCGACTTTGGACGAGACGGAGGCCGCCCTCCCCAAGGCCTTGCAGAGCTAGGTGGGGGACAATAATGGAGTGGAGGTTTAAACTCACGCTCAGGGGACCCCGCCGGTCGGTGCTCTGCTCCGCCCCGCGCCTCCCGCCACCGCGTTTGAACCTGGGGAACGGCATGGGCGGGGCTCTGACGTACATAGACCAATCAACGTTCCCGTTCCTAGATGGACAGCTGAGACCCAACCAGGCCCCGCCCAAGTCCTTAAAGGGAAGAGGGAAGTTAAGAGGAAGACCAATCAAATTGTTCTTTCCTTTAACTCGCGGCCAATGGGAAAGGAGAAGGGAAAACCGGCAGGGCAGGGCAGGTCCTGGAAGTTTGAAATTGGCGGTTAAGCGGGATGCAGTGTTTAGGGACGCCTGATTGTTTAGTATTCCTTGGGGAGGTCGCCTGGGCGCTGTCCTCTACTCCTAAGGCCACCTACGAGGAGGAAGGCAGCCATGCCGCTTTGGTCTTCCTGTCCCTTTCACACGGCCAAAGTAGAGGTATTTCTTACTTTGGGAATCCCAGGGGCTCTCTGCACAGCTGAAACAGCAACGTGTGAATGTCAAACCTCTATCGTTGAATCTCCCTGCATCTCCGACTGTACGAGTCGGTGATGGTCATTGAGACCACCTGAAATGACGTTTTAAAGCTGAATTAAAGGCAAGATACTTAAACAGGCACTTAATCAAAGAGGAGATCCAAATGACCAACGCGTGTAGGAAAAGTGCAATCTTATTCGTAATCGGGAAATATGAAAAATAAAACCACAATGAGAGACTATAATACACACTCAGAGTAGGGGAGAGAAAGAGACCTGACAGTATTTGCAAAAATAGAGAGCTATACACACCCATGCATAGCTGATGGAGGTGCAAATTGGTACGTCTTTGGAAAAGAGTTTTGGCGATGTTTACTAACATGGAAGATCTGAGCATTCTATAACTGTTCCTGGCAGAGAAACTACTACCTCCTAGTTATGTAGCACACCAGGAGAACTGTGCAAGAATACACGACACAAAATCCTGTTGTACAACATAACGGCAAAATACTGGAAGCAACCCAAATGTCTATCAGCAGTAGAAAGGATAAAATTTTACACTGCAGTGTTTTCATACAGCAGAGAAAAGAAAGCTAACCACAGTGGCATAATGAGTCTCAAAACAATGCCGAGTGGAGGAAGCCAGACAATAAAGAATGATTCCTTTAATATAAATTTCAAAAGCAGGCAAAACAAAGCAATGTTGTTTGATGAGAACTAGACATACAAATGGAAAAAATATAAAGCAAAAGTCAGGCCCAGCTGCATGGGACAGGTGCTAGTGCGTCATTCTGCAATTCTGGAGACACATGGAAAACCAGTGTTCAGATCCCCTAGCGGGCTTGAGACATGCTAGGTCTGTGCAGTGTGATCCTGGCTGGTTGGCAGTGGGGGAGGATTGCAGATCACAGTGTGACAAAACCCTGTGGTGTCAAGGGTACCTGTTTTCCTCTCTCAATCTCTCATGAAAGAAACTTAAGAAAAATAAAACAAAAGCCAATTAAACCAATTACCTGAGTTTGGGATGGAGGCCTTTTAGAGTATTAAGGTGTTGCTAGGATCTATTTCTTAACATAGGTGCTAATAATATGGACATTGTTTTGTAATGATCACATCGTGTGTGTGTGTGTGTGTGTGTGTGTGTGTGTGTGTTGTATTTACATGTATAAAAAACTTTAAAGGGGAGAAGCGATCATTTCTGTACTCTTCTAATCCCTACACTATATAAAACTAGAGATATGTTATCACACACACACACACAGCATCAGCACAAAACCAAAACCACACACTTGCTTAATATGTATTTCTTAACATCATATGCTTCTTGTTCCCAGCACAATAATGATAGCAACTATTTATTGAACTCCCCTGCCTTTTTTATTTAACACCTTATCTCATTTAATCCTTTCCACTGCCCTAAAAGGGAAGAACTATACAAAACATTTTTTTTTACAAATGAGAAAGCTGAACCCAAGAGAGGTGAAATGGCTAATTCTGGATCCGGGTGCTTTAGGTGGTGGAGCTGGGTTTGAAACACCTGGACTGACTCCAAGATCCTTTCCTCTACACAAAATCTCCTCAGAAGGTATTAGAAATTCTCCCTTGAGCCAATTGGTGGCATGGTGGTTAAGGCAGCTGGATCTCACATGGCCAACTGTGCAGTTGAAGTCCTGGACACCACAGCTTGAAAATCATGTCAGGCACATGTGCATATATGCTCATAACCCCAACAGGAGAAAGGAGGAGAAAGGATTGTGGTGTAGTCATCCTCCCAAGGAGTACTTTCTCATTTCTCTCTCTCCCTCCCTCCTCTCTCTCTCTCTCTCTCCTGCAAGAACATGCATCCTATAGGAAAAAAAAAAATTAAAAGAAAAGAAGAGGGGGAAAAAAAGAAATTCTCCTAGCTCCTACTTTTGGTCCTGTTGCAAGGGCTGCTCCAGGAAAATATATAAAAATAAATGCTTCAGGACCAGCGGTTAGCGTAATGGCTATGGCGCTGGATTCCCATGTAGTCAACCGCCGTTTGAGTCCCGGACCCAGTGGCTTAAACTCATGCCGGGCTCATGTGCATGTGTGCCCAAGATCCCCAGAGGAGAATAGAGGAGAAGGGATTGCGGTGTGGCCATCCTCCCCCCCGGGGGTGGTTTCTCATTTTCTGTCTCTCTGTCTCTGTCTTTCTGGTGAGCGCACGCATCCTATACCAAAAACCTCTCAGTAAATAAATAAATAAATGCTTCTAATGACATGAAGAGGTTAACCAAAGCTTAGGGATTCCAAGTTTGAGAGGCAATGCAAAGTAAGCGACAGACTATTGAAGCCAGTTATCGACTTGATAATAAAAACTTCAGAAGAGCTAGGAATGCCTATCTCTAGTCAATGCTTCTGCTGACTTTTCTTGTGCAGCTAAACCTATTAGTTTCCAGGTATCACAAATGGAAACCTTTTACTGGAACCTTGGAACTTCATCCTAAATTAGAATGCAGTGTTAACAGCATCGTTTTGCACTGCCTGAAATCCAGCCTCACTTTAGGATGGATTTACTAATTTCCCATTAGAACAATTACTGGCCTCTGCAAATACTTTGTGGAATAAGATAGGGAATAAACAACAAATAAAATAAATGAGGAAACATGAAACAAACAGAAAAATTAACTCCATCAATTTCCTTTGAGGAATAATAACTGCACAGGAAGTTTGTAGGAAAGATCACAAGAAGGGATCAACAGTGACTGTGCGGATACTAAAGGGTAAGATAATGCCAAACAGAAAAAAATGCATTCAAACTGGACTGATGGGCCAGGCGATGGCGTGGTGGTTAAGGCGGCTGGATACCCACATGGCCAGTTGGGCGTTTGAGTCCCAGACCCAGCAGCTTGAAAAAAAATCCCACTAGGCACATGTGCATGCATGTGTGCATTCTCAAAATCCCCAGAGGAGAATGGAGAAGGAATTTTGGCATGATTATTCTCCTTATGGGAGTTTTCTCACTTTCTCTCTCTTCATCAAGTGCTAGTATGCACACATGCCCTATAGCAAATTAAAAACCAAAACAGGGGCCAGCAGGGGGCGTGGTGGTTAAAGCATTGGACTCCCACATGACTGGCCACGGTTCCAATATGGACCTGGCAGCTTGCTTTCTCATTTTCCCTCTCTCTGTCTCTCTCTGGTAAAATTTAAAAGAATAATAAAAATTTAAAATAATAATAAATAAAGTGAAATAAAAATAATTCCAAAAATACAAACTATTGCCTGACAAGGAAGCTGAGACCTTATGTTTGCTCTTGCACAATCCAAATCAGTGACCTGTTATTTACTAAGCATGAATCCATGTTTATTGTGATGGGGATTCTGGAAGAATAGTATCATAACAAGTCTAGTATATCATACTGTTCTTGCAATCACCGTTTATATATTCAATAAGCATTTATTGTACCAAGTCCTCAGGTACCAACATGAAAAAGACACCTTCTTAGGGCCATCAGGTGGCGTGGTGGTTAAAGTACTGGACTCCCACATGGCTGACCACAGTTCGAGTCCAGACCTGGCAGCTTGTTTTCTCTCTCTTCCTCTCATCAAATTGAATAATAATAATAATAGTAAATAAATAGGGACCAGCAGTTGGCCTAATGGCTAAGTCGCTGGACTCCCATGTAGTCGACCCCGGTTCAAGTACTGGACCCAGTGGCTTAAACTCACATCAGGCCGTGTGTGTGCATGCCCAAGATCCCGAGAGGAGAATGGAAGAGAAGGGATTGCCGCATGGCCATCCCCCCTGGGGGCTGATTTCTCACTTTCTGTCTCTCTGTCTCTCTCTGTCTTTCTGGCAAGTGCACACATCCTGTAGCAAAAAATAAATAAATAAATAAATAAATAAATAAACTTTTTTCAAAAGATATCTTCTCCGTCTTTTTTATTTTTTTTTAAGTTTTGTTTTTATTTATTTATTTATTGCCATAGGGCACATGCTCTTGCTGGAGAGACAGAGAGAGACAGTGAGAGGGAAAGTGAGAAATCACCCTCTGTGGGGATCACCACACTGCAGTCCCTTCACCTTCATCCTCCTCCTGGCATTTTGGGCACACACACACACATGCACCCAGTGTGAGCTTCAAGCCACCAGGTCCGGGACTTGAAGCATGGTTGGCCATGTGGGAGTCCAGCACTTTAACAACCATGCCACCTGCTGGCCCCCTTAGTCTGTTCTTGAAAACTCAAGTGTGGTAGGAAAATGAAGATGTAAGCAAACAAGTGCCAAAAAAAAAAAAAAAAAAAGGCAGTGAAAAGTTTCCTGTGGTAGTCGAGGGCACAGTGGGGCTCTGGTAAGAAAAAGGATGATGACAAAAACAGCCCCACTTGGAACTTGAAAATAAGAAAATGTGATTATCCTCAGAGCATTCAGCTGAGAGATAGCACAAGTAAATAAATGCCAAAGCACCTTAAATAGACAGGGAAGGACAGCAAGACTCAGCGGAACGTTCAGAATAGGGAAGAATAGGGAAGCTGGGGGCCAGCAGATGGCATAATGGTTACGTTGCTGGACTCCCACATGGGCAACTGCAGTTCAAGTCCTGGACCTGGTGGCTTGAAAATCATGC